TCGGTAGACCTTAGACTTTTGTGGTGCCGGAGAGCTGGCACGGGTCAGAAGCCACGGAGAACTATGCAGCTTTTACTGGCAAATCCAAGCAGGGATTTCCATAGGTGGTCCGTGTGCCGTTCCGAACAAAGCTTGGTGGCTGGGGGAATAATGCCTAAAACATGTCATGTCTCTGGCTCCTCAAAGAACTCCAGCTGGAATGCCGAGGCTGGAAGTGGAGGTGATGTATTATGTATTAAGGTGCCTCACTGGGACTGGTGGGAAGCTGGCCATACAGAATATTAATACCTCATTTGTTTGCTTTTAAGGATGCATCCTCAAGGGTAGGCGAGGATGTGCCCCTCTGTTGTGTGCTTGTCTCGACGTAATTTTTCTCACCTGACTTTGTGCTGCTGGCTGGGGTAGAGTTGTGTCACTGCTGGGATTTCACTGAGCTGGTCGAGGTCTGCTTACCTGAAGTGTGTGCTGGAAGGGCATCAGCCCCCCCAGTTCACTCGGGTGAGCTGGGCAAGGACATAAAGCGAGACGAGACGATGGCATTTTCCTCGGCTCGTGCACAAAAGTAGGAGTTGGAGCTCTGCAGTGTATTATCTGCTGCCTTTTGTATTCAGCGCAAGTAATGAGGCTTGGATGGCATACATTAGCACCCTGTAACACAGCACTTGACGGCTGGCAGTTGTTTGACTTGTATGTTTTGGCTAAATCTTCACATTAAAAGATTTGCTGCTTTTTTGTCCGGTTCCCTTACGAATTGTCAGTGAATTTCAATTCTCAGTGAATTTCGGAGCTGAGCACACCCAGGACTGCTCAGGCAGCTCGGGCTGGCACCACGCTTGTGCTTGGAGGTGTGAGGAGCTCTTTTCAAAGGCAAGGCAGATTTGGCTGGGGCTGACCTGTTCGTCTGCTGCTCTCTGCTTTATGATGCATGCAGAGTGTCCTCCCTGTGTCAGAGGGATTGTTAGAGCAGAGTTATTAATCCAAGGGAGTTTAAAACTTGGTACTTGTTTTTTCCATGCTGTTTCAACAATTTGGGTATAAACATAGCCATAACTTGTCAAAGACAGAAAATAACAGCTTTTTTTTTTTTTTTTTTTGAGGGGGGGGAGGGAGGCGGGAAGGGAGTTGTTTTCTCTAAGCGAGCTGGCTGGGTGAAGCTCTTAAAAAGCTCTCAGAGGGAGTAGCTGCACACAGCTGGGACAGAGGGGGAGCTTAATCCTTTGCAGCATGTCTCCACAAACCACTGGTCCATGCAAGGAACAGCTATTGAAGGAGACACATCTGCTCTGCTCTGTGCTGCTCCCCTGCAAGCCTGCCCTGCTGGAGTGGCCATAACAGGCTGGGGCTCCTTCTGAGCTGGCTTTTGTTGGGCCCCCCGAGAGCTGATCTCAAAGAAGTCTCCAGAATTCAGCGGGGTTAATGGTTTAATAACTACTGCAAGTGCTAATTGTATGGAGCAGGCAAGCAGCCTGGCTCAGAAAGATCCAAAGGAGTCTGAGGCTGCCTCAGCTGGTGACCAATTTATATTTATTGTCCCTCGGCTTCCTGACTTCCCCACTGAGGTAGATGGTTCTTATTCTTGTGGGTAGCTCCTGGAGATGTCCAGTTTTGGCCTGTTTTCAGCCTAGCAGTTCTTTGTGTGTTTTTTTTTCCCCCAGCCTCCCAGGTGTTAAAAGAAAAGTTATTATTTTCCATGCTGAAGATAAAGCTCCCTGGCTGCCTGCAGTCGCGCTGCCTTTGCGGCTGGAGGAGCTGCATCTCCTGGGATTTGTTGTTATTGAGTGCAGGGGAAGTAGCTGGCACTGTCTCTTGCCCTCAGTGTGTGCTTCCTATTGGAAGCAAGGATTAGTTTTTCCACTGAGAGCTTGGCCAGCGCTTGGCAGCTGCCTCCAGGGCTTCAGCTCTGAGGATGCCAGGTGAAACGTGGGGACGAGGAGTTCCTGCAGTATGAAATATTGAGTTACTGCCTTCGAGCTGCTCACAGGAGAGCTCAGCCTTACTACAGAGGAGGTGCTTGGTCAGGGCAGGGTGCTCCAGCCTGGCTATAAAAACAGCCAGATGGGAGGGTCGATGTGACTCGGTGCAGCTTTGCTCTGCAGCCAGGTACCTGCAGCTTCTGCATTCAGCGGGAGTGCTTCAGCCAGGTGTCAAACTCTGCTTAAGGAGATAGCCAGGTCACTGCTGTTCATACACTCTCTAATCCAGCCTCTTCCTAAAGCTAAGTAGCTCTTAAGCCCTGACTAATCTTCTTTGAAGTGTGAACCTGTGCCATTATCCTGCAGCAAGCTCTGGGCCACTATCTCCTGCTTTCACTGAGTGTGAAGGTCTAGGTTAGCTTACATCTGCCTGTTGTGGATTTCCTGAGCGAATAACTCTCCAATATGATTTTTTTTTGCCATATAGAAATGTAGGATTATTACCAGCAGGGCTTTTCAGATTGGTAGAAACAATATGAAGCTGCCCTGAAGGAACCCAAGGAACTCTTTCATCAGGCTGGTATTGAGTGGCCATGTTATCTACCCCCCAGAAGGAGGAAAGGTTCTAGTAAATATGGAGTAACCTTGTTGGGAGATGAGCATTTTGGTTCTTCTGCTAACCACAGCCTGAATATCGTGGGCTATTGGTGAGCCTAGAGCTAGAAAGCTACAAAATATCTGTACAGATGTGTATATACATATGTATAATGTATATGACTGCAAGAGAAGTGCTTTTCAAGTGCAGCTGGAGTTCTGTTTGTGTTTAAGCACTGCTGAAAGCATTTGTGCCACCTAAATGCTCCTGACTTCTTCATAAGCTGTACTTAAAGCTAAACTATCTTTTAAGTAGTGAAAACCCAACTTCTTGATGTTTCAGTATGCCTGCTCTTAACAGGCACTTGCTGAAGGGGTGTTGAGGTGAACGTGATTTATATTCATCTGCATGGTGAGGCAGATGCATGTGGTTAGGCACTAACAATTTAACTTGCATAATACATTCTTAGTGCTTTTTAATTACAAAAGTGCATCAAGAATTGGCCTGGGAAAAGAGCTAAATATTGTCAGTTTTCAGCTTTTTTTTAGGGAGGGGATATAGAAAATAGATGGGTAGCCACCCACCCTTCAGAGATAGAAGATGCTAAAAATAAAGTGGAAGGTGTCTAGGTTGGTGAGCTTTTTGGTGGCTTCTGCTTGTCCCTGAGCACCTGGTGTATGTGTGTGGCCTGTGATGGGGAATTATTCCAGCAGCTCAAACTGCTGGGATGAGGCTTCAGGGAGCATGGAAAAAGTGACTCAGTGTGCCCTGAAGGCTCAGCCAGATGCTGGAGCCTGCAGTGGTTAATTCTGAGCTGTGTTGCTGCACTCTGTGGGTACAAATGCAAGTGATACTTCTGGATGTGCAGTCTGGGTGGGGAAATGAGGAGTGTGGATAAATTTAGGGATTTATCCTGGTGCCCATGAGCAGTGGCACTGCACAGGGTGACCATTGCTGCTCTTTGGAAGACTGAGGGGTGGTTCTGACAGCCCCAACCTCTTTCCTTATTGATATTTGTTATTCCTGCAGCCCAAAGGGAAGAGCAGTTCACTTGGGAATGATAAAATCTCACCTCATTCCAGCCCCTGCCATGGGCAGGGACACCTTCCACTATCTCAGGCTGCTCCAAGCCCCATCCAACCTGGCCTGGAACACTTCCAGGGATCCAGGGGCAGCCACAGCTTCTGTGCCAGGGCCTCCCCACCCTCAGTCAATAATTTATTCCTAATATCTAATCTAAACCTAGGTGAAAAGCCATTCCTCCTTGCTCTGTCCGTCCATGCCCTTGTCCAACATCCCTCTCCAGCTCTCTTGGAACTACTTTGGGCACTGGAAGATGCTCCAGTATGTCCCTGGAGCCTTCTCTTCTCCACCTTCCAACTCTTTCAGCCTGTAACAGAGGTGCTCCAGCCCTGTGATCTACTTGGTGGCTCTTCTTTGGATTTATCCGAACTCTTTCTCATGTTGGGGGCCCCAGAACTGGAGGAACATGTGAGAGAAAGAACTTGAAGCTGCTGATGGCTGGAGACCCTTGCAGTAGGGCTTGTCTGTGCCCATGAGCAGCTGCCAGCTCTGCTGTGACAGAGGGATGTCTGTGGTGTCATGGCACTGGTGTGAGCACTGACTGAGGCCTTGGGTGGGATGGTCCTCGCTCTGGAGCGGTGCAGTTGGAGTGGCCAGGGCTGAGGCAGGTGCCCAGGGGAGGTGGCTGGGAGCTGGAGCTGTGTGCCTGGAGGCAGCAGAGCTTGCCAAGGGCAGGCTGTCAGCTGGCTGCATCCCTGCTGGCCTCCAGGTTCAGTGCTCTCTTGGAAACCCTCGGTGGTTTGGACATGAGACGTTCTGGAAGTGTCTCCGTGGTGCAGTGCAGCACGGGCACTGTGCTGATGCTGCAGTGCTGCTCTCTGGCCTGGAGCTTCCTCGGTGGGGCCAAGAAGCTCAGCCAGGACATGGGGCAGCCCTAAAGCCTCCTGGTGTGGCTCTGGGGCTGTGTTGTCCCCCACAGACCCATCTTGTTCTCTGTGCGGGTTCCTTGGTCTCCTCCTGTGCCAACAGGGCTGGCCAGGACGAACCTGAGACTTCATGGTCCTGACAAGTATCATTTTTGGACTTGGTTCAGGACCAACAGGTTGATCCACACCATTGCTTGCAGGTCTGATGCCTGCTGGGTAGAGCATAGCACTCTGTTACTAGGGAGGGGCTGGGCAGGGTCTTGGGGCTTCAGATCCTTGGAGCTCCCAGGTCCTGGGCTTCAGATCAACATTTGGTTTTTGTCTGGCCTCTTCAGGTAGGGTAGGCTGAGAAGAGTAAAACAGATGGGGGAATTCATTGCTTGGAATGTGTAGTGGGGATCTGCTCACAACTGGTCGTAGTCTTGGTCTCCCATTATTTATGGCCCTGGGTCTGTGGTTGGTTCTGGGTTGTGTAATCTTGGTTCCTTTTCCCCCTTCTAGGTCTCTGGATTTGTCAGCCTCGCAGGCTTCTGGACACATCTCCTCTCAGCCATGAGGAGATCAAAAGGATTTAATATCTGTGTGCTCACCTGCAGCATCCTGCTCTTGTCCTCCAGCCTGCCGTGCCTGGCTCAGCCTCTGGAGGAGGAGGATGTCACCAAGGTCCAGCATGGCCCCTGGGCAGGGAATGGGCTGGAAGATGAAAGGACAGCCATGGTGGACTTGAAAAACAATCTGGGCCCTTCTGAGCAGACAGTTTCTGAAGAGCCCTGTGCAGTGTCAGCACAGCCTTCTGGGACACCCTTGGGTGAAGCTTTCACTGCAGAAGGAGAAGCCCTCCCTGCCAGCCCAAGCCGTGTTGTGCCCAGCAGCCAGGTGAGCCTGGGGGCTCACCCCTCTGCTGGGGCACTGCCTGCTGGCCATGAGGAGGAGCTGGCCCCCACTGAGCCTCAGCTGCACGAGGATGAAGCACTCAGGGCCATGCTGACCACAGCTGTGACCACGCTGAGCCCTCCAGTCCAGGAGGAGTCTGGTGGCCCCGTTGGTGAGGCCACAACCGAGGGTGGTGTGGCAGCGGAGCCCAGCTCTGCTGGCCCCTCAGCAAACCCCCTTTCTGGGACCACTGAGGAGGAGGAGGCAGAGAGCAGCTCACACCTCTCAGCTGTGCCCCAGCCCACACTGAGCCCCAGCTCTCCCAGCTGGGAAGCAGCAAGTGACCTCCCTGTCATCCCGAGTCCCCAGGCCGCAGGTGTGACCTCTGGCCTGGGAGTGCTGAGAGCCCGCACAGGGAGCCCCCTGAAATCCCTGGCTCCACCAACATCTGTGGCTGCCAAACCTCCCCTTGTGGCAACTGAGGCCTTCCTTGAGCCAGAAGCTGGGACAGGTGTCCCACAACAGGAGCTGCCCACTACGGCTGGCACTGTCACCATCCCCCCTATGGACACTGTGCCACCTGACTGGGATGACACCAAGCTGGGGGACATCAGTCGAGGGGGAAGCACGTCTCATGAGGAGCTGGGGACAACAGAGCCATCCCAGACCAGCCAGGAAGGTGTGGGGGAGGAAGAGGATGCCACAAGAGCAGTGCCCTCCCCAGTGTCCCCTCCAGCAGCGCCTGAGCTTGCCAAGGAGAGCAACTGCACAGTGCCAGTGCAAGGAGAGGAGCTGCCAGCAACTTCCCCAGGCAGCAGCTCTGCTTCCCACCCTGGGAACCTGTCAGAGGCAGGCACAGCTGATCTTGGCTCCCTGGGAAACATAAGTGCAGTCACAGCAGAGGAGGAGAAGAGCGTCCCTCCGTCACAGCCAGAGGCTGCTGTGGTGACAGATACCCAGCCTGAGCTCTCTCCTACTCTGGAGAGTTCATGGAAAGGTAAAACTTGCTTGTTACAGACACTTGCCTCTCATTTCTGGGATTTAAAGTGAGCTGTGCCAGCAGCCTGTGAGCCACTGGTGTCTTAAAAGCCTTTACAAGGGTGCTCAGAGAGCTGCTGGCCCTTGTGACAGAAACTCCTGGGCTGTCTCCTCGCCCCATGGTGAAGCTGTGGCTGCCCAGTGCTTGTCCCCACCCTTACCTGCAGGCTGAACTCCTCCTGGACAGCCTGAGGGTGTCACCTTGCCCTGCACATGCCTCCAGAGATGGCACCTTCAGTCTCATGACAGTATTCCTACTTGGGGTTTAAAATATAAAGGAAATGCTAAAAAAAAAGGCAGGTCAGGTGTTGGGCATGTTTCTAGGTTGATGAGGACTTTCTAATTGCTGGGCATCTTTATTCTTCCCTCTTTGGCTGCAGATGTAAAAGGATGATTTCCCTTCACTGCATCCAAAAGACCTAATTTTTGCTGTAAAAGAAAGGAAGCTAATTGCAGGCTGGTGCTGCAACCTGACTGATTAATTTCTAGATTAATTTTTAAGCACTTGACTTGTCAGCAGGCTGCCTCTCTGCTGTTTCCCAGATGTTGGGGAAACAACACTGTCTATTAAGATTTGTGCCACAAAAATCAACCTGAGGCTGATTTTTGTGTCACAAGTCTTTATAGCTGAGGCTTCAGTGGGAGCTGGACACTGAAGGCTGGCCCTGCTGCTGGCCCTGTGCTCTGGAATTGTTAATTCCTGGAGTTCTGTTCCTTTCCTATTGCTTCAGATGTGTGCTCTGCTGCTGCCAGCTGTCCTGTGAGCCTGCCCTGACCCGTGTTCTTGCTGTAGGTGCTGCTGAGGAGGTGACAACAGCTGCCCAGGAGGCTGCTGCTGCAGCTGTGCCAGCTGTGCCAGAGGTGCCTGGTGCCACCCAGGGAGCAGGGGCTGCCAGCTTCCCTCAGGAGAACAGTGGGGAGGACACCCAGATGCTGACAGCTCCCAGTGCCACCCAGGTGCTGCTGGCACCGGGTGCTTCCCCCACAGGGAGCCCTGTGGATGCAGAAGGTAGGATTCTGCCTCAAGGACACAAGATGGGATGGTGCCTCTGGAACCAGTGTCACCCTCCAATCTCAATGCAACATCCTTATTTAAGTGACTTTTTTTTTTTTTTGCTAAACTTCTGCCCTCTGCCTCTAAACCTGGGCTGCCACTGCTTTCTGCCCATGCCATGAGATCCACCACTCTGGGATTTGCCAGCATATGGATTTTTTTTTGCCCCAAATAAGTGGAGTAGAGTTTAAAAAAAATTCCCCAAACCAAACAAGCCCCCTGTCTGTCTTTGCTAGCAAGCTGCCTTTAGCTTTAGACACTTGAGCAATTTTTTTATTTATGGAGGGAGAGTTCTTAATTCTGGAACCCAAGGCAGTCACAGATTGCTGATGCTCAATCCAGAGGATGAAAATGTTTCATCAGGGGTTCCATGGGAGCCAGTGGTGGGGGGAAAGACCCCCTCCTTCAGGAGCCTGGCAAGCCCTTGGGTGTGGAAGCCTGCAGTGATATTCACTGAGAAATGGAGGGTTGTTCTCAGGCTGCTGTGGCTCATACAGAAATGCTGTAAGCAGTCATGTTCCTGGAGCTGCTGCCTGCTGGTTTGGTGTCACCTTGGCAGGTGCATGTTGGAGCCTGTCTTCCTGACAGGAGTGTAGCAGGGGCTCCCTCAGCACGAGGCTGGCTTTGAGCTGGAGTGTGTTTCTGTAGTAGAGGGGACCACTGTAATGAAAATGCTGCTGGGCAGATTTTCTGGCAATTCTTGTGTTGCAGGGCACCAAAAGAAGAGAAGCTGTTTGCATTGTATCTCTGAATTTAGGGTCTGTTTGCATTGTATCTCTGAATTTAGGGGCTGTTTGTAAGGGGGAGAAGGTTCTTCTGGCAGATTCCACCAGTTGAATTTGCTTCTGGGATTTAATTATAAATTTAACCAACTTTTATCTTTGTAATGAGCTGTTAGATCTGTCACTTGGCTCAGTTCTCAACTGGTGGCTTGGTGCTCTGATCTTGCAAGGGTGTGGTGATGAGTAGTCCTTAAAGCAATGGAATTAAAACCTTTAAGGGTTCCCCCCTCATTAAGGGGAACCTCCTTTGCTGGCTGCCCTTGAGGAGAAAGTTTCACTACAGCAGAGTCACTTCTCAAAGGAAACAAAAGTTTGGTAACCTCTTTTGAGCTAAATTTTCATTAAGGGATTTCTTGGGTTTTTATAATATCTTGTTATACTGAATGGTTGCTGTGTGGTATTTTCAGGGCGGCAGAAGGGAAATGATGAATCTGATTCCATGTTCTTAGAAGGCTGATTTCTTATTTTATGGTATTATATTCTATTAGAGAATGCTATACTAAACTATACTAAAGAATAGAGAAAGGATACAGACAGAAGATTTAACAAGATATTAATGAAAAACCTGTGACTCTCCAGAGTCCTGACACAGCTGGACTGTGATTGTTTATACAACATGTGAATTATTTTGACTTAATAGCCAATCTGCCACATTCCAAAGCAGCAAAACACAGGAGAAGCAGATGAGATAATATTGTTTTCCTGTTTCTCTGAGGCTTCTCAGCTTCCCAGGAGAAGGGATTTTTCAGAGAATGTGACAGTGACAGTTGCTCTTTCCTGTCTCCTGTAGATCTCACAGATGGGATCCTGGTCACCAGTGAGAAAGCTGTCCCAGCCCCTGGTGGGATGTCTTCTACCCCAGCTGGACAGACAGAGGAGCCAGCCAGCAGAACTGTGGTCCTGGTGACTCCAGCATCAGTGGCCTCCTCTGCCAGGAGGACCAGCACAGCTGGCACCTACGGGCTGGACCGCCTGGAGTCTGAAGGTACCCGGGGGCAGGGGGCCTCCTGTGGGGTGCCAGCCCTGCCCTGACAGCCCCCAGTCTGTCTGTCTGTCTGTCTGCCTGTGTGCACATCTCACTGTTCCCAATAAAGGTGTTGGACAGCCTGTGCTCTCTCAGGAGGCAAGGGAAGCAAGCAGTGAGCAGTGTCCTGGAGGATGCCTGGAATTCCAGTGGCTCTGGAGGATGGGGGTGGGTTTTCTCCTGGCTGGGGAGCAGCAGTGGTGTTGCTGCTGCAGCAGGGTCTGCTCTGCACACCTGTAATGCACCCACCAAAGGGGTGCTGAGGCAAAGCACAGCCTGCCCTGGAGCTGGGCTGCAGCTCTGATCTGCCCTCTGTTCACCTCACCCACAATTTGCCTGCAGAGAACTGTTCCTTGCTCCTTTTCCTACTGGAACTCCTCTCTGCTTGCTCATCCATCCAGCTCTGTGCTCCAGTCTCTGGGCTCATACCACCTGGCAGGAATTAATCTTTCTGCCTGTTTTTGCTCCCCTTCCTTTATCTTGACCTTCTCTTGCCTTAGTGTTTTACTGCAAAGGTTGGCAGCTCTCCAGGGGTGGCACTGCCAGATGGTATTTCTCCTCTGAGTAGAGGTGGGGTGCTCCAGACAACAGCTCATCAGCATCTTTTCTCTGCAGGAAGCAATAACTCTCTCTCTCCTGTGGAGTTTAGAGGGCAGCAGAAGCTGGGAGTCTTCCCCATTGCATGTTCCTGGCTTGCTGCTGGCTTTGAAGCCTTCCCTGAGCTCTCTGGGGCTCCAACTGCAGCATTTTGCCCTTGCCAGGATGAATTTTGGATGTCTCTGGCAAGGCAGGGCTGTAGTGCTGGTGGGAGAGTGGCAGCAGGGGAGGGAAAGGTCGTGTGTGTAGGGAAAACCTGATCCTTCAGGCTGGGAAATGAGGTCTCTGCTTAGCAAGAGCAGTGTGATTCAGGAGGCTAAAGTGTTTTATAGCCCTCTGGGATCTCCTTTAGAAGCCTGGGTTTCTGCATGGGAAGATAAGAGGGATTTCAGTTTCAGCTGAGCATTGGTCTCTCTCAATTTAATGAGACCTTCTGCACAGGCATTTTAAAAAAAATCTTTCTGCTCCAGTACAGGACTGATGCAACTTTCTTGGATTCCCTCTGCACTCTGCTTTCTCTGCTCCAGGCTCCTCTAAAGGCAGATATGGGCTGTAGCTGAAGACTTAAGTGGAATTCTGGGTTTCTTGGCTCTGTTCTCCAAGGGACATAGGGTTCTTTTGACAACTGGCACAGCTCTTGTGGTCTAAATCTCTTCTGCTCAGCCCAGACCTCTGTGCAGGGAGCCAGAAGGTTCCCTGGTGCTGGGGAAGATGAATCCACATCTTGTAAAATGGGACAATTACAATTATCATTTGGGGAAAGGCTTTCTGCCTGGGGATGGTGCTGCCCCAGTTAAGCACAAAGGAACATTTTTGAGCTACAACTCTGCTCTCTCAACAATTTTTTGTGCTTAAAGGCAGTTGGGGGGTATCACATCCTCATGGTGGAGTGGCATTTGGAAGCTTAGCTCCCAAAATTACAGTTCCTGCTGTTTACTCTCAGAATATCTTGAGTCTGCTAGATCCAAGATGTTTGGGGGTGCTTTCCTTTAAAGATGCATGGAGCTCCAGCCCAGGACACTCAGGTTTCTGGGGGATGCTGTTGCAGGCACATGATTGGGTGCCTAATGAGGGCTCTTGGCCCTTTGGGGAGGGGCTCACTGTTGGAAGAAGTGCAAGGAGCTGAGTGAGCTCTGCTGCCTTCAGTGGGGTCCTGCTGACTTGCCTCACTGAAGGCCTGGCTCATCATTAAATACAAACCCCTGCTGCTCAGCTCCCTCTGTTTCTTGGGGACCATCTGTGCCAAACTGCCTGTGGTTAATTGCATCTGTGTATTCACCTGCCTGGCTTGGATGCAAAAGTGTTTTAAAAATCAAATTGCACAGGCAAAATGGAAATATGTCTAGAGGAGCTTATCCTCCTCTCTGGTGGACTCTGGAGGGATGAGCTGGGTAACAAATTTCCTCCTGCCTTGACTCCTTGGTGAGCTTGGTTCTACTTTGCCCTTCCTAGTCAGAGAAATCCTGTAAAGGGATTATAGGATATGGGGACAGGACACAGCAGAGGATAAGCTTGTCTGGGGGAATTGATTGGGTTTTGTCTCTGTGCCTAGAGTTTGTATGTCTCTCTAGCAAGCTGAGCACTGCAGCTTTCTCTGTAGGGCTTCTGGGTACAAAGAGCTACTGGTGTTGAGTTTGTGAGGTCTGCAGGACAAGGTGAAGAGATGAGAATCTGACTCCATGTTCTCAGAAGGCTGATTTATTATTTTATGATATTATATTAAAGAATGCTATACTAAAACTATTCTAAAGAAAAAGATACAGACAGAAGGCTTAACAAGAATGAGAATGAAAACTTGTGACTGACTCCTCAGTCTGACACAGCTGCTGGTGATTGGTCATTAAGTAAAAACAATTCACATGGAACCAATCAAACAATGACCAGTGGGTAAACAATCTCCAGACCACATTCCAAAGCAGCAAACACAGGAGAAGCAATCAGATAATTCTTGTTTTCATTCTTTTCTGAGGCTTCTCAGCTTCCCAGGAGAAGAAAGCCTGGCAAAGGGATTTTTCAGAAAATATGACAGTGACACTACTGGCTCAGCTGGCTTAGGACCACTATGGGAGCCTCCCAACACACTTCAAAAAGTGATTTTTTGGAAAGAAACCAGCTTGCTGTTCAGCTTGGGTCCTGTGCTGTAACATCTGCCATGGTGTTGGCAGAGGTGGCTGCACATCCCCAGTGTGGCAGGTGGGACTTTCTGAGGTGGCAGGACACGTGCATGCTCCATCTTCTGCAGAATCTGTGCAGTTTCCAGCTGCAACCTCCTGATGGAGCTCACCAGGCTCTGGTGCTGTCACTGTGGGTGAGGCTGGGTCTGTATCTGGCCCTGCAGACTCAAGATTTGGTTCTGTTGAGTGTCACCCCCCTGCCTGGATAGCAGAGAACTGTGGCACCACAGAGTGGGTTGGGATGGAAGTGACCTCAAAGACCTTCTCATTCCAACCTCCTGCCATGGCAGGGACACCTTCCACTGCCCCAGGCTGCTCCAAGCCCTGTCCAGCCTGGCCTTGAGCACTGCCAGGGATCCAGGGGAGCCCCAGCTTCTCTGGGCACCTGTGCCAGGATCTCACACCCTCCCAGGGAACAATTCCCTCTGATCCCTTGCTGGGAGTGAGCTGCTCCCACAGCTCAGGGGTCAGGAGAGCTGCAGGAGGCTGTGGAGGGTGCTCAGAGCTCTGATTGAAGCAGGAGCTGCTGTGCCTGTTGTGTGGTGGCAGGAGAGCCAACAGCTCTGAAAATGGCAACTTCAAATCAGTTGCTCCAGAGGAGGAGGCTTTAACCAAGTAGCTCTTGAGTGTGGAGTGTTCCCAATTAATTAGGATGGCTCTCAGCTGGCAGAATTTGGAGTTTCATGTGCATTTGCAGCCTGCTGTGAGCTATTTTGTGTACCACAGAACAGCTTAGGTTGGGAAAAATCTTCAAGGCTGAGTCCAACTTTTGACCAAACACCTCTGTGCTAACCAGACCACATCCAGTCTTTTCTTAAACACCTCCAGCCATGGTGACTCCACCACTTGCCCTGGGCAGCCCCTTCCAATGTTTAATTACCTTTTCTGTGAAGAAATGCCTCCTGAATACTTCAGAACTTGTTGCCATTTACATCAATTTATGAAGGATGCTTCAACTCCCCATTTTTCTTTTGATCTGTGGCACAGTACAAGGAACCTTCTTTTTTTTTTTTTTTATCCTTTTTTGGATGTGAAGGGTATTTTTCCCAGAAATTAGGGCTCTGAAGGGGATTGTTATTTGAACCTTGACTGGATGGATTAAGATCTGCCTCATTAAATCTCTACAACCCTGTTAAAAATTTAAATTAGGATGCAGAGGTGTAAATAAAACAGGCACTTAACCCAGCATGGTTAACTAGCCTGATATTATAGTTCCTCACCAGCTCTTTGGCTATCAATTAAATTGGCAAGGAGCAGAAGGCTTAGAGCACGTGCAGAATGAATTATTAAATGGTTTTGGTACACACTTCCCTCTTGCATCTTGTTTATTGCTCCCACTGAAATGGGAACTGCTCTCTGTTGACCTCTATCTTCTTCACAGCAGGTGCTGGCTCATCCCTCTTTTTCCTCTGTAGCAAAAAATGGTGAAAAAAGTGACTATTTTTTGTATCAAACTCAACTTTTTTTATTTCCTCCTCTCTCTTCTGGAAGTGTTTGATACAGACATGCACAGTTTTACTGTACAGCCTCAGCCTCACTGTGCTCATGGGCAAGAATTCCTTCCTAATCTCCAATCTAACCCTGCCCTCTGTCAGCTTGGAGCCATCCCTCTTGGCCTGTCATGCACTGCTCCCAATTCCTCTCCAGCTCTCTGGGACCCCTTTTAGGCACTGGAAGTGTCCCTGAGGTCTTCCTGGAGCCTTCCCTTCTCCATGCTCTCTGTTCCTTGTGATGTTCTGCCACTCTTCTGCCTCCAGCAGGTATTTCTTAGTCTGCCCCACCTTGATCCTGTTCTGACCAAGCTTTATTTGAATTTTGAACTGTATTAGATGTTTCTAATACAGTTTTAGATGTTTAGATTTGTCCCCAAAAAAAGAGAGTTCACTTAAATATCACTTCAATGTTGTAGCTTTCCCATGCTTATCTCCAAGCTTGGACAAAAATAACAGATAAACCCCCACAGCTGCTATTATTGCATTGTAATTGGGCTGTGTGAGTGAAGGTTTTTAATGAGTTTCTGTTTGTTTTAATCTGAGGATTAAGCAGTTTGCCCTCCTGGCCCAAGGGAGGTGGGTGTAGATAAGCAGGAATGTTTTCTGCTGGAGCTGCTCATGCCTGGGGTTCCTCAGCAGCTGGGAGAATGTTGCTCATGGGGCTTTTGGGGAGCTTTTGGGATGCTGCAGGAAGGGG